ATCTGAACAAACTTTTCGAAATGAAAAAATAAGTTTTCATGATCTGTTCAAGTATGGATTACTTTGTGGACTAATCCTTTCTGATATTGATCAAGTTAAGTGGCTTCCAGTTCGTGTTWTTGAAGCTATTAAAATGGTCAAGACTTATGATGATTATATTATCTTGGTGGACATTTTTTCTTCACCACCAAAATTTTGGAAATCTGAGCCTGAACCAAGTTGTTCAGTCATCAAAATACTTTCAAAGAATTTCTCTTCAGATTGGGAAGACAAATTATTACTTCATTGTCCTAACTGGCAATATGTTTTTGGCCAAACTATGGAGGAAGTAAAAATATGGTTTTATCATGTCTATTACTCAGACTTCTTTTGGAACTCTGAAGTTTTAACATCTGAAGAATACTCTCTTTTTGGAGAAACGCCTACAGTCAAGATTTATATTCCCTCTGCAATATCTGCCTATACTTTTCTCAAGTTCTCAAATGATGATGAAGAGGCAACTGACAAGTGGCGAATATTTTTTAAAGAGAAAGCAATCAAGAGACTGGCGGACAAATTTCTTTAAAGAAGATAAGATACACCTGTTTGACAGCTGTATATGGTGGCCGACAACGACAAAGAAATAAGCATCTGCTTTTCTACTTTTGAAAAATGTGCCATACTTTTCAGTATTGTGCCCACTTTTCACTGTTCATATATTGACTTTGTATCCGGTATTAGCCTCCGGTAGTAGGTCGTTTTTGCTTTTTATTCCTATAAATAAGGTACTCTTTGTAAGTGTTTCAACACACCAGAACTACGAACACACCTGCATAGAGAGAAAAATATTAGAGAGTTTCAAATATTGTAAGTTTGAAGTTTGTGAAGTTTGTAATCATCTACCTCTGTAATCAACCGACTGTATAAATACAAGGTTAGTTTTTTCATTATGGCAGGCTAAACCTCTTATTAGGAAGTTATTTCATGTTGTAAGATATTTATAAGTATTATCAGTTTAATCTTTATTTATAAAGATAAGATCTTCAAATCTATATCATAAAGATATTTGGTTAAATATTAGTTCATACTCATGCCAGGAGAATAACTGTCAGGCTTCAAGCCAAACCTCTGGGATTTGTCCTAGTTGTAATTTTAAGAAATTGTTTCAATAAAGGTTTAAGAAGATTAAAATTTGCTTTAAAAACAAAAGACGTAAAGATGTTTAAATTCAGAAAAAGTACCCGTCTTAGCAATGAATGCGTTTAAGGGGAAAAATTATGAACTAATCTGAAAAGGTGAGTTTTTAATAAGGATTTTATCTATCTTTCTTAAATCAGTATTACATATTCTTAAAAAGTGATAATATTTTTACCAAATGGGTGTTATGATATACTAAAATAAGATCTTATCTCTAAAAATTTTGATTAACGTGATAATATGTATAAATGTTTTTCAGCCTCTGATAATAACTTTCTAATTCCTTTGTTCTTGTTTATTATCTTAGACTTATTCATCTGATGTTTAATATTGCTTATAAGTGTAGTAATCGTCCTCATCCTGATCCCGAGCACTCTGCTGTATGTGGATGTCCTTGTGGATGTTATTGCTTTGTAGATTCTGAAATATATAAATCCAAAAATCTTAAAAAGAACCTCACGTATCTGTTAGCTTCTGATTTATTAACTCTAGATTTAAAACAATATATTGCTGGAAAGGTGTTTAAAGACATTAATAAGTTTATGGGCAATTTCTATTTTAATCTAGATATTAATAATCAAGTTAAACTTGCTGCTCTTCACTTTGCACAACAAGATAATTGGAATTTTGCTTTTAACGAAGAAAATATCTACTTATGGTTAGTGCAGACAGAAGTGTTTAATGAATGTATGTTATATTCTTAGTTGTTTAACCTCGCTGAGGCCCAGACCTAGTATCTAAAGGACTGTGTTTTCTTTACATACTAACAAACTGCGTTGCAGCCCAACCCCTATTATATATATATATATATATATATATATATATATATATATACATATACTATTATATTACAAATATGCATTAGTATTAAAGTCTATCATAATTATTTAAAAAAACTTATAATAGTTTAATCCAAACGTTCATAAAATTAAAGAAATTGTTCCATTGTAAATTATTAAGTTCTTGAACTTTTTTTATATATTTTTTAAAATAATTAAATGATTGAACTTTTTTAAAAAGTTGGTTACTTGAATTATTTTAACCTTTTTAAAACTGTATAATTTAAAAGTTATTTTTATAAAATGACTTGAAAAATGTATTCACTTTCATAAAAAGTCGTATTTCAAATTTCTTTGGGTTATTTTAATATTTTTAAAATGATGTAATTAAAAGATTGTGAATAAAATAAAAKAATTAATATCGTGCAACTCATAAAGTCATAGTCATTTACAAAATAAATTCATCCTTACATATACTTTTTAATAAACTAGTTGTGTACCCGCACAATGCGGCCGGAGCCATGAATTTTAACGATTTTGAAGTTCCACTGGTTTTATAAGATAAGATTTAACGATGATATAAGTTACACTTGGTTTTTACTTATTAATACAATTTGAATAAATAAGAGTTATGGTTCCAGTTACAGACTATCGATGAAAAAAATTGTATGACAGTTTAAAATCCAACATATTTAAACGACTCCATAAATGTATTCGATTTACACCAAGAGCAAATAACCAAGAAACTTGAGTTTTAATATAAACACTCAAAACCAATAAAGAAAACTACAAATTTGACAGATCATAAGCCATGAAAAAACAAAAAAAGATGGGTTTTAGAATGAAATTTCAATTGTTTACTCTCTTTCTTGTCCAAAAACTCAGATTAAAGTTGAATTAATACATGTATATATATATATTTCAAAAAAACCCAAGAACATATTAATTCGAAACATATTATACGATGCAAATCGGACAGACTAATCCCAAAATATATAGTATATATATAAATAAATAACTTTAAAAGTATAAATCGTAAATATTAAAAATATTTTTTCACATTATATATAATAATATAATTAAGTAAAAAACTATTCAATATTGGACTCATTTCGAATGTATTAAACGGGACGGTTATAATGGTGTACTTGTTAAAATAAAAATGTATTTTTTAAACATATTTTAATTGATATACGATTATGTATGTTAATTTGATAAATGTTTAAAATGAAACATTTAAAAATAAAGAACGTAAAATAAATAAATAAATTAATTATAAGGGTATAAAGTGTAAATTTAAAATTATAATTTTAAAAAAATCGGTTGTGAGATGATGGGTGTATGTGAGGGGGTGAGTGTATGTGAGGAGAGGAGGGAGTGAAAAAATGAGTATAAATGGTATTTTGGTCATTTAGTATTTTAAGACTTTAAAACTTTTATTAATTTGCTTAATAAGATAGTATATATATAGATAAATCATTGAACTTTTAAAAATTAGTTACTTATATTATTTCAACCAAAAAAAATGTTACATATCATGGTTTACTTGTCTAATAGATCAAATAAATGGAAATTAAGTCATGGTTTCCCCAATTTTTAATCCATCAAGATAATTGTTAAATAAATATTTTTATAATGGGAAAAGTCCAATAAAACCCTATGAACTTTAGTGTTTTGATTGATTAAGTCCTTGAACTATTTTTTTGAACAAATAAACCATTGGACTTTTGAAAACTTGTTAAATAAATCCTTAAACTTTCTTAAACCTGTTAAATAGGTCCTCATTCTTTAAAAATATAACTTGTAACCTGGGTAACAGGTAAACCAACAAACCCAAAACCCCTCTCTCTCTATACAACCCTTATTTGACTCTCACTCCCCCCTTACACTTTCTACCATCTCTCTGTCTCTTCCTTAGAAACACAAAGAAACTTCCTCCCAACAACCACAAACAACCCACCTTAAACTCGCCGGAGCCACCATGGACCACCGCCAATTCTTTGAATTCCGGCCACCGTCCATTTACACTTCTTACTACGCCTAAAACAATGCTAGGTGATAAAAATAAAGAAACCCCTCAATTTTTCAATCACACCCCACCTTAACAAAATCATTTCCGAAAAAACCCACAAATCTTTTCTTTAATTCAAGTTAATCTTTTGCTTTCATTGTTGAAATCAAGAAATCTTGAGGTCTCGCCGGAAAAAATGGCGGGTGCGGGTGCGCCAAGTAATTCCAATATTCAACAATCACCACCACCAGCACCACCGCCGCCGGAGTCAACGGACGAGGCGGCGGCGAAGATTGTTCATAAACGATTCGAGGGTCTAATGATGGTCCGTACAAAAGCCATAAAAGGGAAAGGAGCCTGGTATTGGACTCATCTTGAGCCGATTCTGGTTCAGAATCCCGACACCGGTTTACCGAAATCCGTCAAACTTCGGTGTTCGTTGTGTGGTGCGGTGTTCTCCGCCTCTAATCCGTCGCGAACCGCCTCCGAGCATCTGAAAAGAGGAACTTGTCCGAATTTCAGCTCCGACACAAACCCGAAACCGATTTCGACATTTAATTTGTTTGGTTTACCTGTTACCCAGGTTACAAGTTATATTTTTAAAGAATGATGACCTATTTAACAGGTTTAAGAAAGTTAAAGGATTTATTTAACAAGTTTTTAAAAGTCCAATGATTTATTTGTTCCAAAAAATAGTTCAAGGACTTAATCAATCAAACCACTAAATTTCATAGGGTTTTATTGGATTTTTCCCTTTTATAATAAATAAGAATCTGATAATATTATTATTATATTAAATTTAATATATAGTTTGGCAATTTAAAAAACGTTATTTTTTAATAAATAACTATTAAAAAATTACAGGGTCATTAATTAAAAGAAATATTTTTTTTTAAATAATTTATTAGAAAAAATTATTAAAAGTCAAAAGAAAATATATAAAATCCAAATATGTTTACACCAACCCAACAGACGTTCATAAATGCTAATGAAATTAAATACATCCTTAAACCAATTAATTCTCCGGCGACGTAATGGAAAGCCTACATCTCGATCCGCCGGCGACCGACCATCAGAATGAACCAAAAGACCCTTATTGCATCGCCTACATCATCCACTTTCTACTCGGCGCCGGCTATCTCATTCCATGGAACTCCTTCATCACCGCCGTCGATTACTTCCAGTTTCTTTATCCGGCAAAGCACGTCTCCAAGGTATTCTCGGTGGCTTATATGCTGGCCTCCATGACAGTTCTTTCTATTCTCGCGTGGTGCTCTAGCTCCGGCAAGAGAAAGCTGCCGGAATTTAGAGTGAGGATGAACTTGGGTTATGCTTTGTTTGTTTTAGCTCTCGTCGTAACACAAGTCATTGATTGGGTTGATCACCGGAACGAGATAAGAGGAGGTTCGAATGCCGGTTTTGCGGTTCTGGTTTCGATGCTGGTTCTAACCGGTTGTGCCGAAGGGTTAACCGGTGGAAGCTTGGTCGGCGCCACCGGAAAACTTCCCGGACGGTACATGCAGGCTGTTGTTGCCGGAAATGCTTCTGCCGGTACGTATAAGTATTAAACTAGATTACACGTATGCACAGTAAAATATCGAGTAGTTTAGAGTAATATCTGAATAATTAAGAGGTGAATTTTGTTTGGTGAATTTTTTTTACTTCTTAATGGTTTTAAAACCGTCTGAATGATTTTGTATCATGAGCCTCCATTGATCAATAAGCGTCTTGATTTCATTGTAAACAATTACCAAATAATTATATTTTATTTTGCATTATGTCATGAAAGCCTTTTAATCATTTTGACCACTTAATTATTCGGCACCAAACCATTCAGCAATCGCCAAACAACCCATCACTCATCTTTTCCATCAAATTTAATACGCAGGTGTTTTGGTATGCATCTTGAGGATCATAACAAAAGCATCACTTCCACATTCAAGAGGAGGTCTACGAACCAGCACCCACATCTATTTCTTCACCAGCATACTCATCGAACTCCTTTGCATCCTCTGCTGCAACCTCCTCCACAAACTACCAGCCATCCGCCGTTACACCGCCCGTCCATCCCACTCCCACCTCGACAACCAACCGAAACACAACTCCGACGACCACCACCGACCAAAAACGCTTTCAGTCTTGAAGAAACTCCAATGGCTACTTATGTCCGTGGTCACAATCTACGTCGTGACACTATCGATCTTCCCAGGATACTTGAGCGAGAACGTGAAATCGACGCAATTTGGCGACTGGTATCCTTTGTTCTTGATAACCATTTACAATGCCGGAGATTTTTCAGGCAAGTGTGTGACTGCGGTTTATGTGGTTAAGAGGAAACGATGGGTGATATGGGGGTGTATGATGAGGGTGTTGTTCTATCTGCTCTTTTTCGGTTGCGTTTTTGGACCGAAATGGTTTCGAAACGAGGTTGTGGTGGTAGTTTTAACGTTGTTGTTGGGTGTTAGCAACGGGTATCTGACGAGCGTGCTTATGATCGTTGGACCTAAATCCGTGGAAGTTGAGGAATCGCATGTCGCTGGCATCGCCATGAGTTTGTTTTTGGGAATCGGGTTAGTGATTGGGTCGGGTTTAGGTTGGTTATGGGACCTTTGAATATGGTGTGTGAAAACACATTAATGGCAAACTTTTTAACATGTACCAAGATTATTATACACAATCAATACTAAGGTACGGTGTTATTACGATTTGATTCGTAAAATGTTTTTGGATGAAAAGAAATCCGTTAAAAGAATTTAATTTTAAAGAAATTTGAATGAAATGTTGTCAGTTTTAATAATCTGTTTGGTTGGCACACATTGGAATAAAATCTGTTAAGGAATTGGAATATTTTCTGGTTCACAGAACGTAGCTTTAGAATTGGAATTAAATATTTGTAAATGATCAAAATGCCTTTTTTTAGAAAATTTATTTTTTTAAAACTAAAAATACTTTAATAAAATAATTACTTAATATGTAAAACAATATAAATACACAACCCAAATATAACCATAAGCCAAACGATGTTACTAAATCAACGTTGGTCGGTGCTGGTTCAGATTGGTGTTGGTCTGCAGTGGTTTAGATAGCGGTAGTCGTCAGTGGTTCAGATGGAGATGGTCTGCGGTGGTTTAGATAACGGTGGTTCAGATCGACAGTGAAGATGGTGGTTCAGATCGATGGTTGTTCAAATTGTTGGTGGTCGACGGTATCCGACGGTGATTCAGATCAATGGTAGTCGCCGGTGGTTGGTAGTGGTTCATATCAATTGTGGTCCATGGTGCTTCAGGTGTCGGTGATCGGATGGGTTCAAATTGGGGGTTGTTCAGATCGGTAATGGTCGACGGTGGTTCAGATCGATGGTGGCGAGCTGTGATTCAGATCTATAGTAGTTGGCGATTGATCAGATCGATGGTGGTCAGTGGTGGTTCAGATGGCGGTGATCGGTGGTGGTTCAGATTGACAGTGGATTAGATTGGTGGTAGTTCAGATTGGTGATGGCCGACGATGGTTCAGATCGACGGTGGCTGACGGTGGTTCAGATAGGTGGTAATCGACGATGGTTCAGATGGGCGCTGGTCGACGGTGGTTCAGATGGCAGTGGTTAGCAGTGATTCAGATTGACAGTGGTCAAAGGTGGTGGACCATGGTCATATTGGGTTTTATGAGATTATGATATATTGGGTTAAGGACATATTTGATATTATGAAAATAGAGAATTTCATTCCATCAAAATACCGTATAGTTGCTAAGAAATGTTAAATTTCTTTTTTTGTGAAAATTGTAGAATTTTGAAGATATATTTCATAAAAAAGAATGAACCAAACGAGAGAATGTAATTTGGTCAATGAAATTCAACATTCCAGTTACATCAGATTTCTTCAAAATCTGCGAACCAAACGCCCAAAAATTATTTCATGATCGTGTATATAAGATTATCCACAATGCGTTTTTTCAATGAGAAGAGGTTTTGATGAGAGATCATAATTTTATAAGGTTTTTCGTATTTGATTAGCTGTTACTTTATAGAATTTTATAAAAACTTCGTTTTATTTATTAATATAACTAACTTATAATAATCAAATATAATTAATAAATAAACTTAAAATTAAAGTGATAATATTTTTTTATTTATTTAAACAAATATAAAAAAAATGAATTTTTATAGATTTTTTCAAAACCTTAATCTTGTATTCACTTCTATTATAATTTCTTCTTTTACATAATTTTACACAATTTTTAAGGATTTTTTTATAACCAAACTTTATACAATTTTATAATAAGAAATTTCTATAATAAATATATTAAAAAAATACTTTCTATGTAAAATCAATAGATAATCAAAACAATCATATTTTTATGAATATAAATAAACATGTAATTGCAGAAATTTTATTACACTGACTTTTATAAAAGTATGAATCATAAATTTTTCAAAACAGAGAAAATGAAGATTTTAGATAATTTTTTGCTCCAACAGATTTTTTAAAATATTCTCCAAAATGGAGAAAGCACGAGTATGAAATTCTCCAAATATGAAAAACTCTCCAAAAACGATTATTATCATGTACGCTCACTAATAAGAAACATCGATATATAATATTTTTAAAATAATATTAATTTTATGAGAAAAAAATTATTTGTATATAATATTTTAATAACATAATCTATGTTGTAATATCCAAAAATGGAGAATCAAAACTCAAAATCTGTATAGAATATTTTGAAGAATCTATTAAAGATGCTCTTTAATGGGATAAAGTTAAACTGGTGAGACCCTAAAAAGTTATGAAAAAGATTGATAGAGATTTTTGTGTTAGTAGATATATATCGAGATTCTATAGGTGTAGAGTTGACGATGATATAGAATGAAAAAGCTCTCGAAAACCTTAGACCAAAAACTAAACATTGTGGATGCTCTAACGTGAAATAACCAACTGATTCAATCAATCGTTGAATATGAAAAGCTCGGATACAAATTCTGAGTTTGTGTACTTTAAAGAGGGATCTCAAGATTATCTTGAACAAACTAAGAACCAAACAAACTCAGTAAGTCCCACACAAAACAGGGTCCAGAAGGAGTAAGATGTACATTGATCATAGCTCTATCACAAGAAGTAGAGAGGTGGTTTTTCCAACGAAACTTCAAAATACCATCTACCAAGTTCTACAAGAGCAAGATTAGCCATATGCAACAAGATGGTAACATCCCAGACTAACAGTGCCAGATAGTGTCCGTTCCATCCAGACCTAGGCTCACGGTTTTAAAATGCATTTGATAAAGAAGGTATCAAGTCCCTTATAAGGCAACCTATGTTCCCTCCCCAACCAATGTGGGATCTTACGAAGATCATCAAATCCCTGCAAACTAAATGAAAGAGATCTGCAGAACTTGTGCATTGCAAGGAATATAGAGATGTTTTGATAGTTATATATATGGTTGTGGCTTACTTCTAGAGTAGCTGCTGTTTTTTTACCCAGTGATGATCCACCTAGTTTTACCATAATATATACAAGCTAAATGTTCACAGATTCATTTCCAGAATCTAGGTCCCTTATCGGATCTGCCCTTTTTCCGTCCGTCCCATACAGATGACCAGAAGAAAAGAGACATCCAGAAAAGAACAGCAAAAAAAATCTGAACACTTTCTTGAAATCTAGAGAGAGATGCCACTGAACCTGTTCCATGGACACAATAACATTCATTACTATGTAACAATGATTCCCAGATGAAACTTTAAGGCTGCAACACTGGCCTAATAGATAAGCTACCTTCCATGGAGTTCTTCCAAAATGCCACTAAAATTAACAAATATAAAGAAAGAAAAACATATGACTCATGACCAAGATAGCAGGTTATATACCAATTAAAGACCCTTTGCTTTTTATATTTATCCTGCATCAAGGTTTATCGTTAAACATATAGCGTTGGAATATGGCTAGTTCCTCATGAATCAAGCTAGCTGCTTGAATAAGCCCATTCGAGAATCCCAAACAATCAGGATTGACATTAAGGGAATCGCCTTAACAAGACTTGCGGATAGTAGTTAGACCTTCCCAAGAGCATGTACCAAGCCGTAGGTAGGTTGAGGGGAAGGTTAGAGTGACAACAGCTAGTTCTCCCTTAGTCGGTTTAATGGCTTCTTACTTTCTCGTATGCCTTTACTGTCCGTACATGCTTTAGTTATCTTGATCGTTTCCTTTTCTCAAACTATCCTTACCTAATTTTATTCCATTTATGTTTTATCTCTCACTCTATTCAAGCTTTCGTCTAACTTTTAGTCTTTTAGAACCAAATGTTGTTTCCAAAATCATGTTCTGAAAAACTGTTTTCAAGTCTAATGTCTACATACATCTTAGGCTCCACAGACCCTAATACCTGTGAGACGGTGGGACTCACTGGTATCTCTCATCCTCTCTTTGGAATCTAAATCAAGCTTTCTTTCATATGTCACTAATATTAAACTTGAAGTTCTTTCGGTTGAGCATCTTACATTCTATCTCATAACCGTCCAGCAATCTTATTATAATCACTAACGCAGAATACTAAATTATGATAACTACCAATAAATTTATCGCCATTGCATGGAATTGGTTAATGTTCATACTTCCATTGTTATTAGGCACTCTTAAAAAGAAGCTACGCTGTAGAATTTTGATGTCAAACATAGACTTTCAAATCGTCTGAAATCCATATCAAAATTGAAGGTGAAAATCATCCTTTTGACAATCATAGTCATAGTATAGCTCCAAAGTATAATCTAGTAAAACAATTTCTATTCATATGCACAAGTTTCCCACAAATAAAGGATAAGTATGAACCCTAAGAAAAGTAATTAGACGTATTATTATGAATACAGAATTCAAGTAAAGGAGGAAGAACAATTATACCTGAATCAGAATCCTCTTCTTCTCCAGGCGGTGGTCCAGATTCAGGAGGAGAAGGTGGATGAGGACTCGTAGCACCGCATCGGCCAAGCCAAAAATAGGAATTCCGCGGCGGAAGTAGAGATGAACGGCGTGAGGCGGAGATGACGCTACTCTTAGAACAATTGCCGGAAGACATGAATTGGATGGAAGGAAGTTGAGGATTGGTAGCGGCGAGCATCGATGAGTTACAGCGGTGGTAGCAGAGGTTTACGGCGGCCGAAGAACGAAGACTGGACGCCATTCAATATCTCAAACTGATATTTTCCGTGGCAATCAAGAGACCGTCACCGTCTTAACGATTATCCCGCTTTCCGACACGATTTATTGGGCTTAACACTGTGATGTTGGGTTTATACTCATTTTGGGCTGGTGTTACATTTGGGCTTAATAGAAGCCCATAGCCCACATAGAATATCCAATTTAAATGATCTTTTATCCTTTACAGCAACTTTTTAAGGTATGTTTGTTAGCAACTTAATGAGTTTAATCAGAGGTGTTAATCAAAATGGAAAAATCATACAAACCGTCCACACCACATTGTACATTGCGTTTTGATCCAAAACCGCACCGAATACACCCCTAAGTTTAATAGGACTCACACTTAATTCGGTCATCTATACATGACTGTTTGGTTGTGTCTTAATGATATAGAAAAGTGACTTATTCAATAAACTTCTAAAGGAAATTTATGGCTAAATTCAACCTGACCCAACTCGACTTAGAACCGATTGGAACTGGTTATGCATTTTACGAATTTGGAGCTCCATCTGAGACTTTTTATACATAGGGCTGATTTTGGGAAAAAAGATTTAAGTTTTTGAAAAATATATAAAAAGATTTTCAAGTTTTTTTTAATGTTTTTCAGGTTATTTTTGAAAATTTTGAAGTTTTTTTAGTGTTTCAATAATTTATCTACTTAGATGTGTTATTTAAGTGTATCTCAATACTAAATTTCAAAAATAGTAATTATAAAAACATATATCGCATTTTTGTGTAAAAATATCTGAAGTGCATTTAAATAGAGATTTTAAAGCGTATTTCAATAAGATATTGTTAAAAATATCATCTAGCTGTCCCAGATAACTGAGCTGATATCATTAGTGTCTTCCAGCAAGCCACCAAAGATAAGACCATTTAATCTATCATTCACAAATTAGTGTTTGCTGGTACCATATACCACCTCTGGCAGGAAAGAAATAACCGTATCTTCAAGAATAAGAGAAGATCGCATGATATGATGACCAAGACCACTACTGATGATGTCCGGTCCAGGCTCCTTAGCCTGACCATAAAGCCCTCCTCGAATGTTGTCCGGACTCGGCTTGCCTGGAACCTTCCCTAGTGATTGGTCTCTCTCTCCTCTTCCCCCTGCTTTCTTCCTTTCTTTCCCCTCGGGGAGCCTTGGTTCTTTTCTAGTGGATGTGGTTCACCCCCACGCGATTGCGTAACTTGATTGCTTTTAACGTTTTTGGTTTTTCTCTCTGGAGAGGCCTTCCCCCTCTATATAAAAAAAACATATGACAAGAATTTTTATATGTTCAAAATTGATTTAAAAAAAAATGGGATCGATTTGGAATCAGTGGTTGTATACAAAGATCAGGTTGCGTGTTTTTAGTCGGAACCAGTTACGCATTTCACGATTATCGCTTTATTTTACGTCTTTCTTGATTTATTTTATGTTTTGAAAGGGTAAAAGACTAAAGAGTCTTCATTAATTATCATTTTTTTTGTAATATAAGGACAAAAACTGTAAATTCAAAAGTATAAGGATAAAAGTTGTAACTTTTAACAAATCGCAGGCCCTAAAATGATAGTTTACTGCTTAAATTTGTGACGACACGTGTTACACCCAAAGTGAAACGTGCCCAAAAAGTAGCTCTTACGCACCTGCTGGTTCGTCGGGTCAAATGATAAGAGATACGGGTATGGATATCTGGTGCGGTTCTCCTGAGGATCCGCATTTTTTATTTATTTTTTCAGTGAAAAACCGATATTTAATTTCGTCCAGTTCAATAAATGCCATGTACTGTCATTTATCATAGTTTTCCGCGAAAATTAATTATTTAAGGTTTCTGCTACACTAGTTATGAAATTATTTAGAAGTAGATTTAAATATTATAATATAATAATATATTTTATTTCGTCTATTTTAATTTTATTTTAAAATTTTGTATGCTTATTATTAATTTTATTGAGCATTTTATTGGCAGGTCGTCATTTAGCATCTTAAATATAAGATTTTTAACAGAGTCTCCAAAATTTGGGATCCAAATTTACATGTTTTTAGGGTTTTTTTATCGACATTATGTAAAATTATAGTCAAAATTATTTAGATTCAAACCATTAATTGTTTGGTTTTAATTTCAAATCATTAATGGTTTTGGATTTAGTTTCAAATTGTTAATCGTTTTAGTTTTAGCCTATTTTCGTTCTTAACTTATATTCTCTGTTATCTCATTTATGCAATGTAATCAAGAGTTTTGGATGTAACAGAGTCTTTAAAAAGATTGAAACGTGTCTGTTTATTGTATTTGTAGCACTCAAACATTTACGTTGTACTTGAAATGTTTGACATTTTTTACTATTATTTGAAAAAGAAAAAGAGAAACACAATTTAAGTAACAAGTCAATCAACACCATAATTAACGGCAGGAAATATTCAAATAATTCATGATTGAGTAATATTTTTTTTATTAACTTGAATATCTAACTCGTTATGCGAGCCGACTAATCTCAGGACGATCACATATTTTGCAGATAGTCCGGAGTCACCGCATTTGAACCTTCGTGGCCACAAGGGAATTTTTATTCCTTCTTGGATTTGAACATGAGATCTCCTGGTACTTTTGACATTTGGAACCAAACTCAAACCAATTAGGCAACATTCTTAATTGAGTATATTTTGTGTCACGATTAAACTTAATTGAAATAATTATTGGTCACTTGAGTTGATTTATGTTATAATCAATTAAGTAGCATTTAAAAATCTGTATCTGTTTTTCATGATACGATGTATGGATTAAATATTTCATGACGAATTCTTTAGAATTTTTTTTGTCTTCTACGATATAATAGGTTTCGAGTAAAGGGTTGTTTTGTAGCTTCAGAGTCGTTTAGTACATAATGATTAATTTGTCAGAATGATTAAGAAACTCTGTATGATTTACACATTTAGTTGTTGTTTACCTAAATATTTATCAAGTAAGCGTTTACCGTTAGGAGTCAACACTATAATTTATTTTCTAGGTAAGATTGTAGTATATCAAAATGGTATCTACCCGAGTAAGAGTCATCACCCTCACTTACCGGGTAAGTCTCTCTATCCTTATCATCGCTCTTACCAGGTAAGATTCTTGGGCCTTGTCATGTTCGTCCGGTGAGGAAAATTGCCCATTAAGCACCTACCAGGTAAGCATTTAGTAAACGGCCCCTTAGTGTTGGTTAGAAAACGATTGTTTGGAAATTATTCTGAATCAACAATTTGATTAGCATGAAATTATCGTTTTACCCCAGTCTTGTGTTGAATGAAAATTAATGTATGACAAAAGTTCTGAATGGATTTTTTAATGAAAAATAAAAAAAATAATTAATGGTCCAAAATAATACATGATATCATATTGATTCAAACAAACATAACAACAGTTGTTCAAGTTTTGGTATAACAAAACAACATACGAACTGCAAATGCAAATACAATATTTTGTATATAACACCTAATTTGAAACATTTACTCATCATGCAAATTAGTTACGTACTCGTTGAATTTGGGACTCGAAGGCATTGCATCCGTCTCTACTTCCTATGTACTCATTGTACTGGAGACTCTAATTGTGTATCGCATGATTAGACCTTTCTTCTTTAGTTAAGCCACGTCGACGTCGAAAATTTATTGACCAATAAATACTGAAATCAAATCCAATAATCACATATAGACAGATCAAATACCAATGACCAGATATAGCAATGTTCTTATATTTTCTTAGTAAACTACCCAGCTAGGTGATGTTCAGAACAATAATGCAATTTCTCAGCTACTTGAATCCTTAAGTAGTTTCCAGCAACATATGAAGAATGCTTCTAGAACTGCATATTTGTTATGCCACACGGTTTGGAAAAAAAAGGCATTCCTTCAATAACGGTACCATTCTAACAACACATATATCCATAATCGATAATGGTACTATTTCAAGAACGCAATAGAAGGATCACATGAAATAAGATTAATCATTTATAATCATTATCAAAACAGAGGTTCACTGAAACTCAGTAGCTTCTAGAAGCAGTTGATAATTTGATATCATCACCGTATTAAATCTACTGTATGATTAAATATTAAAAATTCAACAGACTAAAACATCAGACAGGTGATTAGGAGCAGGTTTATTTTACTATCGTTAGGAAAAGCATGAGCGCTTAACTAAAGGGAACCTTGAGCATATGGCATGTTAGGACTCAGGGTTTCATGATATCCTTCATTCTATACAGTGTGATTTGTGAATATAGGTTAATTTGGCTATAAGAGGCTATGTCTATATCATAAATACCAGATATGTTTTGCTTGTTAACTACATTTTCAAGCAGATTTGCACATTTGAAGTTGCTTATGTATAACGTAATTTGCACATCAGTGTTAGTTGAAGATTTGACTTATTTCAATGGAATTTTGATAATTCTCGAGTTTAATAATATGGCCATTGTGATTCATCTCGAATTTTCAAGTAATTACACATCTAAAACTTGAACATTTTGAGATTTTTAGGGTTCATTTTGTTATTCACATAAACTGTTTGATTAATTGAAAGTGATATGAGAAGTTTGAATCATTTCAAGAAGCTGAAAACAGAATAGAAGGCATATTATTGATTACTAGAAGGGTACTCGCACAATGTAGCGAAATGCATTTCGATTCAAAAGAAACTTGAGTTTTGGTGTGATTGCCAGAGAAATAATATCGTACCATGACGTATCTGGAATAGTAGTAATTAGTGTGTTAACTGTTAATTGATTTATTAAACTTCTTGAGTCGGTTATTTAATTTACGATTTATCATTTGATTTAGAGTTTGCTTCTGATTAGTCTTTTACTTCTGGTTTCTTGACCTTTTCGAATCTGAATAGTGAGTTCTATCTATCTGAATCTAATTTCTTGGCCTCGTACGCTTTGATTTCGTGCTACTTACTACTAATTTGTATATTTATTAACTATATATTATGCATTTTGATTTATCTGGTCATACGGTCCATTCTAATTAACCGAATTTTATATTAATGACGTGTTCACTTGCTTTCAGTTTA